TTGTATTGAATTGAATTGTTGTGGCTTGGTCCACTCGAGGATGAAAACTCGTTTTCGTTCGTGTGTGTTAGTTGACCGTAGGATGACTAGTGCACTAATAATGGTTGGTAATAATGCATGTACGAATTCTTATTTATCTGAGTTTTAATATGAAGTTTATCGTTGGAAAAAAAAAAAAAATAAAATTCCTATGTCGAAAGTAAGTCCCGCCTTTTCTTAAAATAAGTAATGTTAATATGTAATGTTCATGAAATGTAACGTTATACACAAAATTTTGTGAAAATAATTAATGTTAATATGTCTTGTTGAATAGTCTCTATAAAGAGGTTAGGTATAATAAAAATAGACTTTAGTTATATGGTGCTAAAAGAGATTTTTTTTTTTTGTCCAGTATATTTTCTTATATTTTTTAAGTTTATCTATATTTCGGGGGCATATTCAGTTGAGATTAATGTTAAAGACTTTTTTAGATTTTTTGAATTAAGTAACTTTACTGGATTTGTAAGACTTTCATGACTTTGGTGGACATTTTGAGACATTTAGAGAATTTTTGTTTGAGACTTTTTAAGACTTTCAGACCTTTTTGAAACTTATTAATACTTTTATATACTTTAGCTATCGCCATTATGTTTGCATGAAATGATTATGAATGTTGCATACAACTAATATGAACAAAGTATTTTACCTATTATGTTTGCATTAAATGTTCATAATCGTTTTATACTAAATCAATAAAGTCAAACTATATTTTTCTTTAAAATGAAAAACATTAAACCAAAATGAGTTATAATAGTAAGCATTAGCTATTCAACAAAAATAAAGAAATTTTTATAGAAATAACAATATTTTACTTTTTTTTTATTTTAGACATAATATACCAATTTATTTTTGTTTTGTAATTTTTGGTTTGACTTTCGTATATAAAATGAATAAATATTTCTACAAATAGGATAAAATTTAAGTTTATCAATCGATATTAATTCAGATATAATGAATGAGCCTAAATTTATCTTATAATAACAAAGCATAGATGTATATTAAATAACTTTATTTAGATATTAGTATTTTTTTATTTTTTACTTTGAAATATTTATTATAAGAAATATAAAAACAAATATGAGCAACTATTTGAACCATCAAGTATAGAATCATTTATTTATTTAAAAAAAAAAAAAAAATAAGTGGACTAAAATAAAACAAAAAAAAAAATTGTGGACAAAAATAAAACGGACGGATTCTCAAAATCCGTGTTTTACCGAAACACGTATTTTGGTAATCCGTGTATGTATAATTTTACTACGAACACGGATTATGAAAATCCGTGTTCCTTTAATTGTGAACGGAACACGGATTACCACAATCCGTGTTCCTTTAATCTTGTAATTAACACTAATTAACTAAACAAAACACGGATTATGAAGATACGTTTTTAAGAAACACGGAGTTTCGAAATCCGTGTTAAAACGAAAAACGGAATTTCAAAATCCGTGTTTGAGTATTTATTCATTTTTTTTATATTAAAATCAACACGGATTCTGAAAAACCGTGTTTATGTAGATTTAGAATTAACACGGATTTTCAGAATCCGCGTTTGTGAAAAAAAAATGGTAGAAGGAACCCGGATTGAGGACTCAAATCATGTACATGTGGGCGAGTCTGTTTTCTACAAGCACACCTCCTACCATTAGGCCGCTCTAGGCTATCACTATTATTTGTGCACAAATTTTATTCTTATACTTGAATATAAATATTTTTTATAGTATATAGTTTTTTTTTAATATATACTATATACATATATTTTATAATTGACTGAGATTGTTATATAATAAAATTTAATTTTTTTGTTTTGTTTATTTATTTATTTATTTTGAGTTAGGGCTCGACTCTTGGATGCTCACGAGCTTGCTACTACCGAACGCGTTTATTTTGGCTGAATTTATATTGTTATCTTTCAATATGAAGATTTTTTTATAAATTTTGATTTAACATTTTTAACACGAAACAATATCACTTTAATATCAATTCATTCGTCAACTAATAATCTAGTACAAAAAAGTGAGGCACAATTAACGATAAAAAAAAATGAACCACGAAATATGTACACAAAACCATCAAATTAAATATCTCAAAATCCAATACAAAAAATAAAACTAACTAACTAGGAGTATATGGATTCCTGGGCTTGCGTACTCGGGACCCTTTCCGAGGAGGCCGTGGTACTGAAGAAGACGATGTTGCGGTCTGTCCAGGCGTGACTGGCTCTTGTTCTTCTTCACAAAATTAATTAATTTTTAAAAAAAATTAATACTTCGACCGAACAAATAAATAAAAAGAAATGAAAATAAATACATATTTGTAGTTAAGTAAAAAAAATCTCATCTTGTTCGTCTTCTTCAGTCCCGGGGACTGCAGTGGCGGGTTCGGCTGCACGGCGT